CACACAATGCTGTACTTGGTAATTTTCTCAAGATGACATAAGATAGAATAATCAGAGAGGAGGGAGCCTCAATTAAGAAAATGTTTCCCTGCAACAATCACACAAAAAGTGACCCCTGGAGGCACTGATACCCCCTGCACCAACTGGATGAAGAGTGACCTCAGAGGGACAGGCACCAACTGCACTGATTAGAGGAAGAGATGGGTAGATTCCAGTGCAAGAATACATTCAACAACATAAAGAGCAATATAGCACCATTAGAACTTAGTGGTTCTACAACAAGACCTGAACATTCCAATGTAGAAGAAGAAGAATGATAAAATAACCTTAAAAATAACTGTATGAAGATAACAGAGGCCTTTAAAGTGGAAATGAAAAATCCCCTTAAGGAAATTGAGGAAAAGACAAAAATTGAAAGAAATCAATAAATTCCTTAAAGAAAGACAAAAAAAAAAAACAGAAAAAGCAATCAAACCGGTGAAGAAAATAGTTTAAAATTTGAAAATTGAAATAGAGGCAATAAAGAAAACAAAACAGAGGAAATTCTGGAAATGGAAAATCTGGGTAAATAAACAGGAACTACAGGTGCAAGCATAACCAATAGAATGCAAGAGATGGAAGAGAGAATCTCTGGCATTGAAGATACACTAGAGGAAATAGATTCATCAATCAAACAAAACATTAAGGCAAACAAAGTCATAACACAAAATACTCAAGAAATCTTGGACACCTTGAAAATACTAAACCTAAGAATAATAGGGATAGAAGAAAAAGAAGAATTCCAGCTCAAAGTCACAGAAAATGTATTCAACAAAGTTATAGAAGAAAACTTTCCCAACCTAAATAAGGACATGCCTATGAAGATACAAGAAGCTTACAGAACACCAAATAGACTGGACCCAAAACAAAGTCCCCTTACGACATCATAATCAAAACAATAAACATACAGAATAAAGAAGGAGTATTAAGAATAGCAAAGGGAAAAGGCCAAGTAGCATATAAAGGCATACCTATCAGAATAACACTTGACTTCTCAATGGAGACTCTGAAAGCCAGAAGGTCCTACACAGACATTATGCAGACACTAAGATACCACAGATGCAAGCCCAGAATAGTATACCCAGTAAAACTTTCAATCATCATAGAGAGAGTAAAAATGATATTCCATGACAAAGCCAGATTTAAACAATACCTATCCATAAATCCAGCTCTACAGAAAGTACTAGAGGGAAAACTCCAACCCAAGGAAGTTAGATGTGCCCAAGAAAACACAGGCAACAGGATCAAACCTTATGCTGCATACAAGACACGCACCTCAACTTCAAACACAGACATTACCTCAGAGGAAAGGGTTGGGAAAACACTTTCTAATCAAATGGACCTAAGAAGCAAGCTAGTGTAGCTCTAATATCTAACAAAAACAACTTCAAAATAAAATTAATCAAAAGAAATGGAGAAGGACATTTCATACTCATCACAAGAAAAATCCATCAAGATGAAGTCTCAATTCTGAACATTTGTGCCCCAAGCACAGGGGAACCCACACATGTAAAAAAATTACTGAAGCTTAAATCTCACATCAAACCCCACACACTAATACTGGGAGCCTTCAACACCCCACTCTCACCACTAAACAGATCTGCCAGACAGAAAGTTAACAGAGAAATTAAGGATCTAACAGATGGTATGACTCAAATGGGCTTAGCAAACATCTATAGAACATTCCACCCAAACACAAAAGGATATACCTTCTTCTCAGCACCTCATGAAACCTCTAAAATTGAACACATACTCAGTCACAAAGAAAATCTCAATGGTTACAAAACAAATTGTAATAACCCCCTTATCTTATTGGACCACAATGGCTTATGTTAGAATTCAACAACAAATTACCAAAAGCCTACAAACTCAAGGAAACTGAGTAATGCTCACCTGAACTACAACTGCATCAAGGAAGAAATAAAGAAATTAAAGACTTCCTAGAATTCAATGGAAATGAATGTACAACATACCCAAGCTTATGGGACACCATAAAAGCAATACTAAGAGGAAAGTTCATGGCACTAAATGCCTACATAAAGAAGTTGGAGAAATCTCACACTGGCAATTGAACAGCACACCTGAAATTTCTAGAACAAAAAGAAACAAATTCACCCAGGAGAAACAGATGCCAGGAAATAATCAAAATGAAGGCTGAAATCAAGGAAATAGAAAGAGAACAATACAAAGATTCAATGAAATAAAGAGTTGATTCTTTGAGAAAATCAACAAGATAGACAAATCCTCATCTAACCTAACCAAAATGGAGAGAGAATATCCAAATTAACAAAATCAGGAATGAAAAGGGAGACATAACAACAGACAATGAGGAAATTCAGAGAATCATTATGTCATACTTCAAAAACCTGTACTCCACAAAATTGGAAAATCTAAAAGAAATGGACAATTTTTTTTGGATAGGTACCACATACTAAAATTAAATCAAGACCAGCTAAACAATTTAAATAGACCTATAACCCCTAAGGAAATAGATGTAGTCAGTAAATATCTTCCAACCAAAAAAAAAAAAAAAAGCCCAGGGCCAGCTGATTTCAGCCCAGAATTATACCAGAATTTCAAACAAGAGCTAATACCAATACTCTGCAAATTATCCCACACAACAGAAAGAGAAGAAACATTGCCAAACTCTTTTTATAAGACTACAATTACCCTGATATCCAACCCACACAAAGATGCAACAAAGAAAGAGAATTGCAGACCAATTTCCCTCATGAACATTGATGCAAAAATTCTCAATAAAATACTGGAAAACTGAATCCAAGAAAACATAAAAAAAAAAATCCACCATGACCAAGTAGTCTTCGTCCTAGAGATGCACGGATGGTTCAACATATGAAAATCTATCAATGTAATATATCATATGAACAAACTGAAAGAATAAAACCATGTGATAATCTCATTAGATGCTGAAGAATCCTTTGACAAAATCAAACTCCACTTCATGATAAAAGTCTTGGAGAGATCAGGGATACAAAGAACATACCTAAACATAATAAAAACAATACATAGCAAGCTGACAGCCAACATCAAATTAGATAGAGAGAAACTTAAAGCGAGTCCACTAAAATCAGGAACAACACAAGGCCAATCAATCCATATCTATTCAATTTAGTACTCAATAAGACAACAAAGGAAGATCAAGGGGATACAAATTGTAAAGGAAGCAGTCAAACTTTCACTATTTGCAGATAACAGGATACAATATGTAACTGACCCCAAAACTCTACCAGGGAACTGCTACAGCTGATAAACACCTTTGGCAATGTGGCATGATACAAGATTAGCTCAAAAAAAAAATCAGGTTGGGCGCCAGATGTAGATGTAACCAATCGTCTTATTAAAATAAGAAACACAGAGCCAATGTAAAAGAGAAAGCCGAGAGGTCAGAGCTCAGAGATAAAATCTTACCTCCTGCAGTGCTCCTAGCTTCCTCGAGAGAGAGCTTCTTCCTGTTTGTCTATCTTTAAACAGTCTTTCTGTTCTGCCTTCTCATTGGTTGTAAACCCAACCACATGACTGCCTCATCACTGCCTGTAAGTACCGCCCTCCAGGTCTTAAAGGCGTATGTCTCCAATACTGGCTGTATCCCTGAACACACAGAAATCTACCTAGCTTTTCTAACCACCACACTCTTGCTATGGCTCTAATAGCTCTGACCCCAGGGCAACTTTATTTATTAACATAAAATTAAAATCACATTTCAGTACAAATAAAATATCACCATAATCAGTAACCCTCATAAATGGGCCAAGAAAAAAATCAGAGAAACATTACCCTTTACAATAGCCATAAATAATATAAAATACCTTCGTAAGGTGTAACTCTAACCAAACAAGTAAGAGACCTGTAGGACAAGAACTTTAAATCTTTGGAGAAAGAAATTGAAAATATGAGAAAATGGAATGGTTTCCCATGCGCATGGATAGGTAGGATCAACATAATAAAAATAGCATAGACACATGGACCAATGGAATCAAACTGAAGACCCTGACACTAATCCCCACACCTACGAACATATGATTTTTGACAAAGAAGCCAAAACTATACAATGGAAAAAAGAAAGCATCTTCAACAAATGGTGCTGGCATAACTGGATGTCAACATGCATGTAAAAGATGACAAATAGAAACCATTTCAAATCATCTAACACTGGATTTGAAGCAAATAGAAAGAGTACAGGTAAATCATGACTGGCCAAATATTGATCATTACTGGAGCTAAAAGCAGGATCTGTACTTGAAATATGTTTATTTATTATTTATTTACACTTAAGAAAAAAATGGAACATTCTACATGCTGAGAAAGCTCCCTTATATGTTAAAACACCTAAGTCCTTGATCATTTGTATATTTACACCATGGAGAGTTTTTCATGACTTTAACATCAAGGATTAGACGAAAAAAGAAAAAGTAAAACATGAAATAAGATGAGTTAAAATGTGCTGGACATCATAGCAGCTAATTTGTGTTTTCCCTTAACTCTACAAATCAACTGTTATAAGAGATGAAGCATTGACTCTGCCTTCTTTGCATGCATCGAACTGTGGAGTAAACAAGTAGCCAGATCCAGTGAAATAAATCTGTAAAATGCATCTTATCTAAATAGAAACACATTAGAAAATAACCCTGGGATCATGGATGCAAAGAAGGACAATTAGGAGATGAAACCATTAGTTATCTGGAGAAAATTTGAGTGTTATGTTACAGTTAGATTAGGGTGTTTAGAGGGATTATGCTTTCCCTTCATGGAGCCACAGAATGATGCATCAAACATAGAAGCACTAAGTCAATGCAAAATATTTGAGTCTACCCAGGTCTTCTTCAAAGACCGCAGCTGGAGTTAGTTAACAATTGACCTACTTTGTCAAAAATTCATTGATGAGAGGCAGAGGGGATGGAACAATAGTATACTTACATGTGAAGGTATTAACAATTATGACCTAAGAGGCAGAATATATTTATTGTTTATAACAAATACATTGAAGAAAAACATGTCTTGGGAGGAGAATGCTGTGAAACAAATTAGTCTGAGCTAAATAATTCCATTTGATGGGAGACTCTTAAGTCCCAGGAAGTAAATGACTGAAAGTCTTAAGAGATCCCTGAAATTTACCATATTCAGAATTCTTTTTTCCTCCAATGTTGCATATACAGTAAGGACAAATGAAGAGAGGAGTCTGTTAAATCTGTTGAGCTGCCTTCATGAATACAGAACAATCCTGGAGTAGGTTTTGCTGTGATGGAGATGTCCTGGAGTTATTCATGCTCTTGAAAGTAATCTTCCATCTATACTGCTACAGAAAACATTAGTCACCTCACTGGTTCACCAAGTGGTACCAAAGTAGAATAGTCTTCTTGTTGTTCACACCCTCTCTGAAGTAATATTTGCTCACATCTCCCTGAGAAGTGTCTGTCACACAACAGGGAGTAGCATGAAAATTTTTGAGGCTGCACTAACAAGGGAAACTTATGCTTAGAAGATGTGAGATGGTAAGAAAATATGTTTTTGCAGGATAGTATGGGAGAATATGGACTTGCAAGGATGCGATGAGTTTAAAATACTTAGAGAGAAGAGAACTGGACTTACAGGACTGACAGACAGAGCAAGGAAATGTGGGGAAATGGTTAAAAGTAATGATTCTCATACTGGATGGACATTTCTTACTGCAGTCTCTCAACTTCAACAATTTGGGGAAATTTCATATGAAGGGGAGTTGTTATTATCATGACATGAGAAACAGGCTCATTATCATGGGATTTTTTTCCTTTTGGATTTATTTTGTTATTGTTTTTTATGGATTAGAATGTGATGTGAGGGTTAAAGAATTCTGACACCCATTTGTTTATTTACTGTGTTCCCTGATTATTTACCTTCAACAATAGTAATTAAAATTCATAAGTCATAAGATTAAGTGGCCATGAATTTATTTAATGAAAATCTATAAGCCAATCGATGAAATAATAAATCGACCAAAACAGGAAATATAAATGGAGAGCACTTGTCCACCTTTGGCATGTTCTGAATCTGGAAATTTTAGGTAGATATCTGAAGTACACTTGTGATTACTCCTTGTTGTTTTGGATTTTCAAGTCTATGTAAGTTGGAAATTTACATTTAAATGGTAGTACATATATGGGAACGCCGGGGAAAAGAGAAAGAAATGGAAATTGTGCCACCCACTAGAAATAAGAAGGAAGAAAGAGTTGCCATTACCAATGCACTACCAACTTTCTGGGTATCTGGGAAGGACGGCGTGCGGAAATATGGGGGGAAGGCAATCCCAGCCTTGCGAATGATGGATAAATAGTTGTACAAGACAGATAGGAAGAGAAAGCTGCCAGCAATGATGTTCAGAACCCCTGAAAAGATGAATGGATTGTGGGTGGCTTTCTTCGGGAGTTTGCCTGAGTACAATTTCCAAATAGCAGCAAAGACTGAGACTGTCGCAACCATGCCGAGAAAGCTGGAGACAAGTAACAGGTGTTGAGCAACTCGAATATCCAAAGGAATGAAGGTGTCCTGATAGGTATATGGGTAACACACTCTAGAAATGGTTGAATTACTTTCCTGGTGGTGAACGCAGGTTTTCCACATCCCCACTAAAGTCATGCTGGGCTTGGAATCCATGGGCTCTCGAAAACCCCACACTCGCCAACGAGGGAGGCCTATAGAGGCACTACAAAGGATCCATGCTAGGATGGCGGCAGCAAGGCCTCCTAGCTGCCGGCTGGCACGGCTGCTGACCATTTTAACGCTGACACTGAACACCTGGAAACTGTAAAGAAACACAGGACATCATGAGGATGGGCTCTTCAGGCCTGGGAGATTGTCCCCTGTTGGGGCAGTACCAGGAGAGAAGGGTTATGTTGAGCAGGTGGGCCTTTGACCAGGAAATCTCCCGCAAGGAGTGTGTTCTGATCAAACTCAGAAGGGCTGACTCTGTGGCAACATTTACCAGCAGGTTGATAATCCACACACCATCTAAAATTTTCTTTTTCTACTGTTTATAGACTCACAATGAATTTGGCCCTGTATACTTAGCCTTCCAGATTATCACCACAGCGTGGAATTTCACAGAGGAAATAGAAAGCCGCTTCAAGTCTAACGACTGAATAGTTTATGAAATACCCACACCATGGAGTTATTTGTCAATCTTAAATATAAAAGTGGAATCATACATTTCGAGTTTGGTATTTGGGGCTTAGAACACATATTTGTGGTTTGTTATTTTGCTTTTTTTTTTTTTTGGTTTTTGTTTGTTTTGCAACATTGTATGGTTCTGTATCCCAGGCTAACCTAAAACTATGTCCTCAGTCTGGCCCTCAGCTAGAGACAATCCTGCTGCCTTTCATTTTCAACTGCTGAATTAAAGGCAACAGCCACCACATCAGCTAACTGATGTCAAGTTTTCAAACTCCATCAATGCTACAGCCAGGATGAGCATTTGTTCTCAAGGTATGGATGACCTGTGTTTCTCTGTTGCCATATTAAGTTTTGACATCTGGATTAACACCAAGCTTTGCCTATAGTGAATAAAGTTATATATACACACACACGTGTGTGTGTGTGTGTGTGTGTGTGTGTGTGTGTGTGTGTGTGTGTGTGCATGATCAGGTATATATAAATCTTTGGGCTGATATGCATTCTTGTTTCTCTTAGGCATATCCTAAGCAACAGAACTGGGAGGATGTTGATACTCATACTTTATAATTCAATAAACTATTTTACCAAGTGTTTGCCCCAGGTAATACTCCCAGGGTAGCATGATATTAAGGACCCAGATTCTACAAAAGTTCTCTCACATTGATTATCTCAAAATCTAACATATCAACACCAATGAACTACGAATGAGTAAAAAGTTCTAAAGCAATAGAGAATTAGCTTATTCTGGCCAATACATGCAACAAGTACTTATAATGCATATTACCTTGATGCAAACTACTCACTGGTCTGCTTGACAGATGTCCAAACCTAATGCTAGTTACTGTGTATAATGTCCACCATCAGGCATATGTAAAACACAGAGAAAATTGTAAGTATATACTGAGTGTGATGATTGGATTATCCACTTGACCTAATATAAAATGGTCTAGGACAGGCGTCTACATGATGAATTGTCTAGATTAAATTTTCTGTGGCATGTCTTTGAAGGATTTTATTGATTATGTTAAATGAAGTAGGAAGACTTGCCCTGGTTGGGGATGGGTAGGGGTTGACACACCATTCTCTTGGAAGGGACTCTGTGCTACATGAATGGAGAAAAATACTTGGGTACTATCATGAATGTATTAATTCATTGCTCTCTTTTCTTGATTGTTGTTATAATGTGACTAGCTGCTTTAAGTTCCTGCCTATTTGGTTTTGTCACAATGACAGAATTGCTAACCAAATCATCATTGCTTCCTTTATATTGCTTTTTCCATAGTATTCTATCACAGCAACAGAAACAGAAACTGAGACACATAATATTATTTATTTATTTATTCGTATTTTAGCCTATCATGAAATATGCTGTCTATGTATATAATAAGGTATAGTTGAATCCTGGGGTTATTGATGATTTTCTTTCCCCTTTGTTTTAGTCTAAAATATTATCACCTTTTGTTTTGTTTGTTTTGTGCTTTTGTTTATCTGGAATGGAGTTCTCTCATGATGTAGGCCCAGCTTTTATCTACTTCAGTATATAATTCATGTTGGTCTCAAATTTGAGGAAATTAATTTGCCTCAGACTCCCAGTTGCTGGGATTATAGGTATTGACCACCATACATGGCTTATATAAGGTTTCTGTTATTATTTTTTTGTGGTGGTGGTCGTGGTCATGGTAGTGGTAGTAGTGACGGTAATGCTGGTTGTGCGCTTGTGTAGCTAGAGTTTTTTTCTCTGGGTCCCGACAAGCCCTGGCAGTCTCTTAACCCACTTATAAAATAAACACACAGACAGTTATATTATTTAAACTGTTTGGCCTAATGGCTCAGGCTTCTTGCTAACTGTTCTTATATCTTAAATTAACCCATTTCTATTAATCTATACTTTGCCATGTGACTTGTGGCTTACTGGTACCTTTCATCTTGCTTCTCATGGCGGCTGCTGGCATTTTCTCAATTCTCCTCTCTGTTAGTCCCGCCTATACTTCCTGCCTGGCTACTGGCCAATCAATGTTTTATTTATACAGAACAATATCCACAGCAGGCTTGTTTATTTATTTTTAAGTTTTGCAGATTAAATTCAGGATCTCATGTATGCTGCTCAAATGGTTTACCACCTATCTAAACTCTCATTCCTAAAAGTGTGTTTTCATGGGTTATATTTTCAATTACTCTCTACAAGATATCCTTCCCCTCCATGGCTCTACCACAGTCAGAGTGTGTATTGATGTCCATAGCTCTTGATACCACTGAAGGCCATGCCAATACCTGGGACACTACCTGATGCCATGTTGATGTCTGAGGGCCATGCTGCCACAGGGACCATTCCAATCTGAGTGGCCTGAGCTGCCATCTGAGGCCATGGTGACATCTGAGCCCAGGCTGCTGCCTAGAATCATGTATGGGTATGTGGTCCTACCACAGCCAGGGTCTGTATGGATGTCTGTGGCCCATATTGCCATCAAAGGCCACATGGATGCCTGGGGTCTAGGCTGCAACCTGTGACCACAAGGGTGTCCAAGGGCCATGCTGCCATCTGAGCCATCCTGATCTGAGTGGCCTGTACTGTTACCTGGGGCCATGGTGGTGTCCAGACCAGGGCTGCTGCATCTGAGTCCATGGCCCTACAGCAGCCAGAGTCTGAATTGATGTCCATGACTCCTGTTACCAGCAAAGGCTCTGTGGATGATCAGGGTCTGGTCAGTTTCATGAGACCATGTTGGTGACTGAGGGCCATGCTGCTGCCAGGGCCATACTGATCTGTATGATCTGTGCTGCCACTGGGGCCATGGTGATGCACATGCCTGAATTGCTATAGTGGACCATGTCTAGTTCCATGGTTCTGCTGCAGCTGGGGTCTATGTAGATGTCCATGGCCCATGTTACCAGGAGTTATAAGAATCATGGTTGTTGAAGTCGGAGGGCCACGCTGAGCTGGCTCCATCTTTCACTGGCCCTGGCATAGCTGGTCCTACCACTTGCTGGACACTGCATCAGAAGAGTTGGTACAGCCCCTCAGGGAAGAGCTGGCCCTTCACTCATAAAAGATGGCCCTATCCTTTACCAGGGGCATACACCTCACTTGTGCAGCACACTAGTGTTAACCCTGTTGGAGGGGGTGCAGGAGAGAAGGCCCTGAAAGCATGAGAGAAGCAGAGCTGACCACCTTCTATTATCTGCCATGTGGTGACAGGGGTGAGGAAAAGATGCCCACCTCCACTCCTTGCAACCTGCAGCAGGTAAGAGAGTTGGCACCCAGGTTGTAAGAATGGGAGAACTAGCGCTGCCCCTCACCAGCTGCAACACACAGGCTAGCTGGCCTTGTACTCCACCTGGGAAGCACACTAGAGCTAACCCTGTTATGGGGGGCACAAGTGAGCCAGCTCTGAGGGCATGCAAGTGGGAGAGCTGACTCTACCTGCATACTACCTACAGAATCAGGAGAGGGTCCTGCACCTCTCCTGGACCAAACAGTAGAGCTGGCCCTGGTGGTGTGAGTATGGGTGATCCATTCCCAAGAGCCTGAGAGCAGAACTGGCCCCACTTCATGCTGCAGGCTGCATTGGGTGAGCTAGTCTGGGTAGTGATGATGAGGAAAAGCTGGCAGGCTAACCAATCCAGCTACCACCCAGGTCCAGAACCAGGGCTATGAGTTGGCTACTCCAACATCCACCTCATCTATGAACTGCTGGAGCATGTGAAGGGGAGGAACCTATAGATCCAAAACTATAGGATCTCCATGACACAGGACAACAACAGGATACCCAAGAGGAACCCCAGTGAGAAGACATTATCAGTGGTGTAGCAGAATCCAGAAGCCTTGAACCAAACCAATGACTCATAGCAATAAATACTTATGAGTAAAGATAAATGAACTAAAGGGTAAATTATGTGACTAACAGGACCACACTACTGTAGTCAAAAGTTTTCTCTGGTCCCACTTGGCCCCACCATCCTCCAGCCACTTATAAAATAATCATTCAGAGGCTTAATATTATTTACAAACAGTATGGACTATGGCAGGCATCTTGCTAGCTTGCTCTTACCTCTTAAATTAATTCATTTCTATTGATCTATGTTTTGCCACATGTTCCATGGCTTTACTGGTCTGCTGGCATATTGCTCCTTGGGAGGGAGGCTGACATCTCTCTAGACTCTGCCTTTCTCTTTCCTGTCTCTCTCCTTAGATTTCCCTCCTGCCTCTAAGCTGCCTTGCCATAGACCAAAGCAGCTCATTTATTAACCAATGGAAATAACATATATTCACAGTGTACAGAAAGACATCTCCCAGCACACTACAGCTTCCATGATGAGATTCTTCTCCTTTTTTGTTTTTGTTTTTATTTGTTTTGTTTTTGTTTTTCCTTTAAATTTTATTTTTTTTGGGGGGGTTGCAAGGGCAGAGGGAGGATTTGAGGGGACAGGGAGATAAGTGGGATCAGGATGCATGATGTGAAAATCCACAAAGAATCATAATAATAATTAAAAGATTTTTTTTAAAAAAGATGTCCTTCCTTGTGCCTCAGGAAAAAAAACTGTGGAATAGACTTCAATATAGGACCTAAGGGAATTCAGTTCCCTGGTGTCAACTATCTACAAAATGAGTAGTTTATAACCTGTGGAAACAGA